TGGAAGGGACTGACAAGATTAAGCATGATTTTTAAAAACTGCTGAAAAATTCTTATTCTGCAAATATGCTTAGAACAATGTAGGGGAAATTAAAAAGTACAATTCTGAAATTTTGAAATGTACACTTATATTAATTTTATTAAGGCTTGGATATTTAATATGTGAAACAGATGACAATATGTTTTAATGTTAATTGAAGTAAATTCTGTTCTACCATTTAACTTTCACATTAAAATTGATTTAGCAGTATATCTTTGGAAAATCCATTCATTTTCTATCACAAGTTTATCCTGGAATATTTAACAGACAATGTCAGTCCAATGGAATGTTAGGAATGAATTCTGTTTTCACATTGGTTACTGTACTGGTCCTTAGTTTGTTGGAAATTACAATAACCATAAACAGCAAGACACAGTGTTTTCTGGGAAAAAAAGAAAGGTGAAAATGTCAATAGAGCACACTTATTGCAGTTTTGCTTTGTTAATAAGCCTAGATATAATCTCTGTTACAGGTATTTCCTGTCAGTTAATAAGTGACTTCAGTTCTTAACTCAAAGCTGATGATTAAGCGGCAGGAAATTTCCTCCGCCATCATTACTCCTGAAACACGGGCCAGGGCATCGCAGCTTGCGGAATGAGGGCTTGTGGCATCATCTTGGAATGTCAGGAAGACAGCTATAAAAGTTAAAGAAAAGCAAATATTTTGACCCTGTAAGCTTGTGTTACTCCTTCAATGAAGTCATTTTGAAAACTTATAAATGACTAAGGCAGATGAACATGCATTTGATATGTTCTGGTAATATTAGGGTTGTGAAAGAATTCTCAAAGGCAATGCTTAAGAAAATAGGAGGACTGCATGATCTCACTTATATGTGGCACTTACATGCAGACAAGAGCTCTCTTTTGTGTCTCTAAGTCTCTCAAATAAGTAAATGATACATATGAATATTAGGTAATCAATACGTTAGTTGGCTTGAATTAGCTTTTGAACAATATACACATACAAAAGGTCTTCAAAAAGTTCATGGAGGGTCAGGCATTTAGTTTAGTGATTAAGATGCCAGTTAAGGGACCAGCATAGTGGTGTAGTGGGTAAAGCTGATGCTTGCAATGCCAGCTTCCCATATGGGTGCCAATTCATGTCCTGGCTGCTCCATTTGGATTCCAGCTTCATGCTGATGCACCTGGGAAAAACAATGGAAGATGGCCCAAGTATCTGGACTCCTGTCACCCATGTGGGAGATCTGAATAGAACTCTTGGTGCCTGGCTTTGGGTTGGCACAACCCTGGCTGTGTGGTCATCTTGGGAGATTCTATCCTCTCTCTCCTCTCCTCCTCTTCTTTTCTCTCTCTCTCTCTCTCTCTCTCTCTCTCTCTCTCTCTCTCTTCCCCACCCACCTCCCACTGTCTTTAATTCTCACTTTAAAAGTAAATAAATGAATAAATAATTTTCTTTGAAAAAAGATATTAGTTAAGACACCGGCTTCCCACTTAAGAGTGCCTAGGTTGACTTCTGGCTCTGGCTCCAGCTAATGCAGACCCCAGGAGAGAACAGTGATGGTTCAAATGATTGAGTTCCTGCTACTGATGTGGGAGAACTGGAGTAAGTTCCTGGCTTCCAGCTTTAGCTTTGGCCCAGACCTAGGTGTTGCAGTCATTTTGGGAGTGAGCCAGTAGATGGGAACACTAACTGCCTGTCTCTCTGCTTCTCAACTAAATAAATGAATTTTTAAAAAAGTTCACAGGAATGTGTATCATGAAAAAACTATGCATAAATTTTTAAACATTTTTGCACCAAAATGAAGTTATCTTTTAATTCAATTTTCCATAAAGTTTTTGAAGTACTCTTGTGTATCAAAATATCATGTTTTATAACAAAGAAATAAATTTTTTATTTATCAATTATAAATTCTTAGAATAAATAATGTTTTTCAAAAGAAAATATGAGGATATGCTGACATAAATGATAGATAAGACAGGTGTTAGCTCACCAACTGCCTTAGCCACTCATTTTTTCTTTTAAAGATTTATTTATTTGAGAGGCAGAACTAAAGACAGAGAGAGGGAGAGACAGAGGGGTCTTCCATTCACTAGATCACTCTCCAAATGGCCACAATTGCCGGAGCTGGGCTGATCCGAAGCCAGGAGCCAGGAGTTTCATTCAGGTTTCTCATGTGGGGACAGGGGCCATCTTATACTGCTTTCCCAGGCCACTAGCAGAGAGCTGGATCAGAAGAGGAGCGGCTGCGAGAGAAACTGGTGTCCATAAGGAAGGCCAGCGCCACAGGCTGAGACATAGCCTGTTACAATACGGTGCCAGCCTCAGCCATTGATTTTTCCCTAAGCTTTGGTTTTCACCCTGCTAAGTGAACAGAGGGCCTGAATTGGGATTCCTAAACTTAAATGCCCACAAGTGCCAGCAGGTGACATAAAGATGAAAAAGGATCTGGAATGGGAAGAATACAGGGAGTGCTAAAGGCTGGAGTGAAATGGAAAACCCCTTCAGAGGAGCAGCCACCACTTAGCTCTGGCTGCATAAGCCACGAAGAAGTATTAGCCACAGATCAGTTTTTTGTTTGTCAGAGAAATCCAAAAATTTATTTTAACATGACATGTTTTTTTTTAATGTTGTAAATAATTTGCCATTTAAAAGCATTGTGTGAAACAAATGTAAATGAACAAGAACAAATAAACACTACCAGCACCACCCATGGCTAAGGGCTAAACTAGCCTATGGATGACTGGTTTGCTTCCTCTGGTCCAGGAGAAATTGCAGGTCTTTTCCAGTGTTGTCCAAAGTGTGTGTTTCAGTGAATTGGATCCTTGTGGTTCTTTGGAAGAATTTCAAGGGTTGGCAATTTTTTCTTAAAGAGGTAGGCAGTAAATATTCTAGGATGGTGGGCCATGCTTTACTTAGTACCACATCAACTCAGTCACTGTAGCACTAAGGCAGCCATCGACAATATATAAACTAATGGGAATGGCTGTGTTCCAGTGGAATTTTATTTACAAAAACGTGTCCTGCCATAGGCCTTCTTGGTTTGCCAAACCCTCATCTAGAGGATTTCCTAGAGAAGTTTAGGAAACTCTGCAACAGTATATCCCTCATATTTTATCATATTGAGTTATCTAAGAAGCACTGCAGGAAGGAAATCCCATAAAGTTTGTTTAAAACAAATACTGTGTTAACACCCTATAAAGCTGCTGTTTTCTCACGAATGTACTGCTGGCCTGAAGAGATGGCTCTTGGCCCTTCATGCTTCTCCCTTGGGCAAGAGATAGCTTGCCCTGCTGTGGCCCTGAGTCACATCTTCTAGCCCTGCTTATAGTGAAAAACAGTCTAATTTATTGTGGTTAGGAGAGCTGTATAACCAAACTTTCTGGGTTCAGAATTTGGTTTGGACACTTACTAAGTAACATTAGATAAGCTATTTAATTGCCTTGTGCCTCTGATTCCCCTTCTGCAAAATGGGAGAAATAACAGAACCCTCATAATGAGATCCATGATGAAGGAAATGGGTCAGTATGTGTGAAGTTAATGAAAGTTAACTATCATCAATTATTAATATACATAGCCAAATCGTATTTGTGGGTCATCAAAGCCTTTAAAATATAATTCCCTAAGAAGACAATTATTATAATAATTGATCCATGTTATGACTTTCTCATAAAGGTCAAGCATATGATGAAAAGAGGAGCCAAAACTAAAAACAACCACTCAGATCACAGGAAGAGCACCAGTCCCTCTCTGCTCTACACTATCCCACACCAAACATGCACACTTGGTGTCAGTTTCTTCACTGAGTGAGACTTTTCAGAAATCCCTGAAGGTCTTCCCTAGCTAATCTTAGTCTGAGAGAGGATCATATGGAACACTATTAGCTCTTAGATAGCTCTACAGTCTCCTTCTGTCACAGGGTATGGTTCACTCTCTTTCCAACAACCCAGGAGAGAATATCTCTCAGATGAGATCACTAAATACCCTTCCTGTCATCTGCAGGAGCACCATGAAACACAGTAGAGAGGTGGGTGCTCTTACGGAGGGGTAGGCAACAGTTCTGTAAGTCAGAAGGGTAGGTTCAGTCCAGGAACCTTGAGGAGGTACCTCAAGTTTTTCATTATGGGTCCCAGTTTGTTCAAAGTATAGGAGATGAATTTCTGATAAAATGTCCTCCAAAGTCACAAACAAGTTATTGTTCAACACTGGGCCACTTCTTTCTTCCTTTATTGAGAGTTGCTGCTGTTGACTAAAATGTATATATTATCAATACTTTAGATTAAGTCACAGAACATTTTAAATTGATAATGAAACATCTCCTTTTTGTGCTTGAATCAGTTGTACAGTAAAATGAAGATTTCCAGATTAACTTCTATACATAGAGATATTTCTCATAAATATTTTGCATGTAGCTACTTCTAATAGTATCACATTTAAGGTCTCTTACATAGCAACCAGAGAAGACAGATAATGCTCATTTTCAAGTGGAGAAAAAAGTTCAAAGAGAAAATTTATAATTCTTGATGATCAAGAGTTTCCATAAAGTAGGTTGTGAGTAAATATTATTGTCTTAGGTGGTGGCTTTTTATTTGTTATGTTATTGAAATTTCATTCCAGAATGATAAACATGAGCTTGTTACTGCATCACTTTTGTGATTAAAACAGATTAACATATGTTAATTTCTTTCATTTCAAATCTAATATTAACCTTTTTGTAAGACTCATTCACAATAATTATATGCTAGTGATAAATTTGTGCTATTTTATGACATAGAGAAAACTTTAAAGTAGAGGAAAACTTTGACTGAAAAAGCATGGCTTATAATTAAATGTATACTATGAAGGGCTGAGCTGATAATACTTCAAAAATGAAAAGAACTCTTCAATTTCAGTAAATATAGATGCAGATACATATGTGTTTATGTATAATTTCTGTTGACAACATATTCATAGAACAATGCTAACAAAAAAAAAAAGAGACAGTGACCCTGCCACAGACTTACCACAACTGAGGTTACTTTCAGCTTTCAGAGCTATGGTCGGGATATTCCAAAAGTCATTTTCCCAGTCGACCACATTCCCTTTCACATTACAGCTGAGGTTGGAGAGGATTTTGGAACCCATGGTAAAATTCCAAAGTCGAAAGTTATAAATGTCCCCTTTTAGAGAGGCAATTTCATTCCGATTGGAGCCCAACAACAATTTCCCATTCCCAGGAATAACTTTACTAATGGTAGAGTCACAGCGAACTGTTTCGTAGTTTCTTTTGAAACTTACACCAACAGAGCCCAAAGAATTATTCCAAACAATGCAGAGCTGCTCAAAGCTTTCTGTGAAAATGTCTTCTTTCTCTTTGACAGGTAGCACGCTGCTCAGTGAGCATTTTGAGCCAGAAATAGTTAGAAAGTAGTCACTCTTGGCCTTTCCAAAACTGAGCAATTGTGCAAAGGATGCATTTGAGTAGGAGAAAGCTGTCCAGTCATTGTCTTCATTTCCAGCTTTGATTGCTTCAAAGCAGAATGTGAAAGCACTGAGCTCTGGAATGGAGATACTTTTTGCAACAGATACCTGGTAGGCATCTAGGGTCTGGGGCAAAATGACCTTTTGATTCCTTAAGGACACAGCAACTAGGATGAAAAAAGAGATAAAACATGTTATCTACAGAACAATGACCAATGAGATGCAAAATGTCTCATATATTTCAGTTGCCCACTGCTTTCTAACTCATTTTCCACTCACTCTCATTGCCTCCTCCTGTCCTTTCTTTTTCTGAACAGCCTTAGTCACTAATCCATTACCAACTACTCCATTACTAACTATTCCAATAATAACACTGATTCACCCATTTTAACTCTAACTATGATTGGATCTTACATGTAAACATCTGAGTGACAGCCAAGTTAATAAGTACTTTTTAATCTCTAATTTAAAAAAATTAAAAATTAAAAAATACAACTTGATGATTTGATTGAGGAAATAACTTTCCAGGAAGTCTTTATGTACCTATCATGATTTTCAAAAACATGTTATTTTTCCAATAACTTCTAAATACAATCAATTGTTCTCTTTTTCATTAACAATTGCCTTTTACTCTTCACATTCTTATTCTACCCTCTGCTTTCAGACACTGTATCTCCTCTTTCTCTCCCACTTTCTGGCTATTTTAGGTACAAATGCAAAAAAGAATTCTATTGAAGAGATGAGTTTAGAGGAAAGTTTAACAAAAATAGAGTGTTAAAGTGTAGCTCCTTTACATCTTTGCATATGAACTTATTTTTGAGGGACAGAAGGAGCATCTGGAAGGAGCAGTCCATGAGCTTCCTGGCCCAAGTCTTCAGGGAACAGCCACATGACCTCGGACCTCCCTCTATGTTAATCCTCTCAACCACAATGTGGAGCACAATGGCTTTCATGGCACAGAAGGACAATGAGAATTCGATAAAATCTACACAGTGTACAGCAGTATCTGCATGACAGCAATAAATAGCAAGGGATTGCCATTATTATATGTATAATGAATTAACAATTAAAATGCAGTTACATGTACATGTGACAGGATTAAATATTACAATAGATGTAGCCCTTTGCTAATATCACCGACATTATAAATTTGCTTTGAGAAAGGAGTATCTCTCCTGAAAAATATTATTAGTTAGTACCAATTTCATATGAATGGTAGTTTGAACACATTTTTATACCAAGAATTGCTTTATGATAAAACATAATTTTAATATAAATGTTCTGCTAAAAAATCCAAGATAGAATTTAAGAGAATCATGAATTTTAGTCTATGTTTAAAATAGATAGCAGTGTATAGGTGTAATTATGCAAATAAGGATACTTATTATAGTACGAAAACAATATTCTCTATGAATTGTTAAAACAGAAAGCCTGGAAGGAAATACACCCATGAACATTTAATAGTGGTTATGGTTCCATAGTGGATCTATAGGTAATTCGAATTTGTTCCATTTTTATTTCCAAATATCCCATATAATTTTAAACATTATTTTGAAAACCTAAAGCATTGTTTTGCTTAACCACATGTGTACCCTAATATCAGTCACAAATAATATATAACTTAGCACCAGAAAACATAATTTACAATAGTGAGGGTAGATCAGTTTTGCCTTTCCTTTTTGTTTATTTTATAAAATAAATGACATATATTTAGAAACACGAAAAAAGTTTTATAACTAAATCCCAGTGCTTTAAAGCTTGACTTATTTTAAAGAAAATTATTTTGGCATTATGATCTGCCAGAATCTGGGAAGCACACTGAATAATAATGTTTTACTTCAATCAGTCGTTTTCAGGAGGCTTTCATCAGGTTAAATTGTTTATTAGCCTAAGTAGTTAATAGTTCTTCTTAAATATATACACTAACTTTCTATGTTTGTCCCCTACAGTTTCTTAAAAAATTAACATCTTAAAACTCAAATTGATTTCTAAGAAGAGATGTTTTAAATTTTCAGTGGAGAGATATTAGAATTACAGATTTTAATTATTAGCAATGGAATGTCTAAGTGTCTTCCAAAGCAGCTTTTAAATGTTCTGTGTATAAATTGTATAAAAGAGTTCAGCTCTACAGTAACCAGATTTTGACCTGGTAATTATAGTTTGCTAATGAGAATGCTCAGAAAATAGTAACAGATTCTTACGCTTAAATCCTAATCCTAATTATTCACATTCACATAAAAGAGCATAACTCTGTCTTCTGGTCGTTGTGTTTATTGCAGCACATGTTAAATGAAAGCAGAAGGTTGGCGCTGCCTTTGGTTTACATACCTCTGATGTAGCTGGCATTGAAACCTTTCTTCTGGATGCTAAAGTCACTTGAAAAGGACACACGCATCTCATTCGCACTTGAGTTAAATGATAGGCCTTTGGCAGTTGCTCCACAAAATTTAGTCTGGCTCTCCCCATTATCGAGGGATAATGAGTCATAAATGCAATTGGGAGCTTCTTCAATGTCAAAGTCATTAAAGGTTATCTGGATGATGTAGCCGGTGGGGGCTCGGAGGGTCCACAAGCAAGCCTGGCTGTTAGGGTAGTCATGAGGGTAACATGGAGAAGCGAAGGTCCCAGAAGGGCTGGACAGGACGACCCTGCAGTTGGCACATCCCCATGCTGTTGGTCAGACAAAAGAGAGACAGAGAAGTTCTGGGATTAGATGCACACAATACACCAAGAATACTACACACTAGGGACAACCAAATAGTAAATATTTAAAAATACCAAAATACAATCATGAAAATTAAAAGGAAAATGAAACCATCTTAAGTAGAAAAAGAAATACCAATAGTGATAAAAAAAAGAAAGGAAAAATATAAAATTTTAGTACATGATTCTTTTTTGGTGGATGATGGTTTTATTTATTTTTTTCAACTTTTACTTAATGAATATAAATTTCCAAAGTACAGCTTATGGATTACAATGGCTTTTTCCCCCCATAACTTCCCTCTCACCCGCAACCCTCCCATCTGCACTCCCTCTCACATTCCATTCACATCAAGATTTATTTTCAGTTATCTTTATATACAGAAGATCGATTTAGTATATATTAAGTAAAGATTTCAACAGTTTGCACCCACACAGAAACATAAAGTGTAAAATACTGTTTGAGTACTAGTTATAGCATTACTTCACATTGGACAACACATTAAGGACAGAGATCCTACATGAGGAGTAAGTGCACAGTGACTCCTGTTGTTGACTTAACAAAATGACACTCTTATTTATGGTGTCAGTAATTGCCCTAGGCTCTTGTCATGAGTTGCAAAGGCTATGGAAGCCTTTTGAGTTCACCGACAGTGAACTGTCAAAGTGGAAGTTCTCTCCTCCCTTCAGAGAAAGGTACCTCCTTCCTTTATGGCCTGTTCCTTCCACTGGGATCTCACTCGCAGAGAACTTTCATTTAGGTTTTGTTTTTTTTTTTTTTTTTTTTTTTTTTTTTTTTGCCAGAGTGTCTTGGCTTTCCATGCCTAAAAGACTCTCATGGGCTCTTCAGCCAGATCCGAATGCCTTAAGGGCTGATTCTGAGGCCAGAGTGCTGTTTAGGACATCTGCCATTCTATGGGTCTGCTGTGTATCTCACTTCCCATGTTGGATCATTCTCTCCATTTTTTATTCTATCAGTTAGTATTAGCAGACACTAGTCTTGTTTATGTGATCCCTTTGACTCTTAATCCTTTCATTATGATCAATTGTGAACTGAAACTGATCACTTTGACTAGTGAGATGGCATTGGTACATGCCACCTTGATGGGATTGAATTGGAATCCCCTGGCACGTTTCTAATTCTACCGTTTGGGGCAAGTCAAATTGAGCATGTCCCAAATTGTTTATCTCCTCCCTCTCTTATTCCCACTCTTACATTTAACAGGGATCACTTTTCAGTTAAATTTAAACACCTAAGAATAATTGTGTGTTAATTTCACACTTCAACCAATAGTATTAAGTAGGACCAAAAAAAAAAAATACTAAGAGGGATAAAGTATTAAGTTGTTCCTCAATAGTCAGGACAAGGGCTGAACAAGTCACTGTTTCTCATAGTGTCTGTTTCATTTCAACAGGTTTCCTTTTTGGTGCTCAGTTAGTTTTCTCTGATCAGGGAGAACATATGATATTTGTCCCTTTGGGACTGGCTTATTTCAGTCAGCATGATGTGTTCCAGATTCCTCCATTTTGTTGCAAATGACCAGATTTCATTGTTTTTTACTGCTGTATAGTATTCTATAGAGTACATGTCCCATAATTTCTTTATCCTGTCTACTGTTGATGGGCATTTAGGTTGATTCCAGGTCTTAGCTATTGTGAATTGAGCTGCAATAAACATTAAGGTGCAGACAGCTTTTTTGATTCTTCAACTTGGGAGGTCATATATCCTGAGAATCTGATGAAACTTATGAGAACTCTCAAGAAAATGCACAGGGGCCACACACATTGCAAAAAAATTAAGAAACACTGAATCTTCAAGGGCCAACAATAGGTTTCACAAAGTTTCACTGACACAGGTCTATGCCAGGGAGCATTTGGATTAGGTGGAATTAGATTATAAAATTATAAAGGTAGATTAAATATTATTAGATTATAAAATTATAAAGGTAGATGTAAATATTAAAATCCATGGGTATAAAAGAAGAAAAACTCTTGGGGAATAAGTGTTTAAATAGAAAGCTACTGAGGCTGGCACAGAGGTGTAGTGCATAAAACAGCAGCATCCCATATGGGTGCCAGTTTGAGTCCTGACTGCTCCACTTCTGATCCAACTCTCTCTTAATGGCCCTGGGAAATCTGTGGGAGACAGCCAAAGTACTTGTGTCCCTGCATTCATTTGGAAGACCCAGAGGAAGCTCCTGGCTCCTGGCTTTAGATACGCCAAATTCTGGCCACTGCAGCCCTTTGGGGAGTGAACCAGTAGATGGAAGACCTCTCTATTTTGCTCTGTCTCTCTGTAACTCTGCCTTTCTAATAGACAAATGAATCTTAAAAAAAAAACAAAACAAAACAAAACAAAACAAAACAAAAAAACAGAAATCTATCAATGTTAAAAGAAACAGGTTACCTCCTGGTAGGATGCATTTTTTTCTCAAATTCAAATAAATAGCATCATTCTGCATGCACAGAATATTTATAGTTTTGAAAATCCTTTCACTTGCTTACCACATTTGGTAAGTATATACTTGTGTGATCATCTTATTTATTCATTCACTGAGTAAATATTTATCAAGTGCCTGTTATGTGTTAGGTACTATTTAAACAGCCTATACCAATGAGCGAGAAAGACAAAATCTCAGAATTATACTCCAATCTTGGACCTCAGGATAATTAATCACATAATCTAATGACAGGTAATAACAAAATGTGGGAAGAAAAGTAAAGCAGAGGATACAGAGTGAAAAGAGTGACATGAGTGGATGGAGATAGCAGCTAGTTCTCCAAAGAGATGACACTGAATGAGACCCAAATGAAGTGAGGGAGCACACCATGAACACATGAAGGAACAGCACTGCACCAGAAAGAACAGCAAACACAAAGGGCCACTGTAAATGAATACTGGTCTCGCCCTTTGACCTCTATGTGCCATGAGGTCAAGGGTCACATTTTCTTTGCTCATCCCTCTATTCTCAGTATGCAGTGTAGATTCACAATAAATATTAATTGGATGACTTATGTAAAAGACAAACGTAATGCTATTATCCCATTTTCACTAAAGAAAGCAGTTAGAATCTTCTCAATTATTATTTATTCATGGCCTGCCTGCCAGCTGGAAGCAGAAACTAAGGTTTCCTATCTTCCCACAATAAATATTCATGTTATTTAAAAATATTTATATAAATTCAGACAGAAATATTGTTAATCTGACATTCTGAATAAATAAACTACCATAAAACTTTACTTTTGAACAATAAAATATTTTATTAAACTTTCAAATAAAATGCTTTAACCATAATAATGGAAACTGATATAAATTTAGTGTGTTCCTTCCTCTTTTACTGCATTAAATGGAATGACAATGCAATGACTTTTCTTGAAAATCGTAGTGATGGCAAATACTACTTATTATTCTGACACAGTGACATATTCAAGGGCTTAGATATGTTCCACTGCTCAAGCTGGTTTTTCCCTTTAACTTCACCCTGTGACCACCTTGTGTTCCAGCTCTTCTCCACCAGTTCTTTCTAACTTGCCCTCCCTCTGCTCTTCTTTCTTCCTGAGTAACTGACACCTTGTAAAGGACTGAAGACAAACAATTCAGAATGAATTATGTCCATCAAATGTCTGTAAACTGCATGGTCTTATCCATCTCTGGAATACCATGTTCTCCTTTATGGCACTATTCAGAAAAGTTATGTTTCTCCCATTTGTGAAATTATTTGTTTGCATAGACAATAAATAAACTGCTAGTCAATAAACTCAAAGAGCAGAGCATAGATACTGGTTCTATTCACCAACCTATTCCCAACACATTACAGTACCCTGGTATATGGAAATTTTCAATAAAATTTGTTAAATTTATGGACAAGCAAGTTAATGAATGAAAATATGAATGGGACCATGCCTAAATTAAAGAATGACTCTTTGAAGCAAATGAATCCAATTCTAAGCCTGGAAAAAAGAGTGTGTGAGTTTTGTAACAACTCTTTAGATGGGTCCTTGGGTTCTTTCTTCCAATCATGTCACTCAGAGCACAGAGACCTCTTTAGTAAGTTAAATTTCTTGTTACTATACTTGGTAACTCAGAGAAAGAAGTAACCCTCATTAATTAATAATAATTTATTTGGTAATAGACTCAAAATTTAAAAGGAAACACATACAAGGAAAATAAAAAAACAATTTCTGTGTCATCCTCACATGCAGATAGGTAGCATCATTTTTCCAAGATAAGATACCATCCCCTATATCTAAGACCCAAGTAACGTTCATGACTTCATTTATCCTGACAACAGTATTTCTGTTATATTCTCCCATAAGAGCTGGATGAGGGTACTAGAAAAGTAACTCTGATTGGTAACACTGAATACACCATTTTTAACAAGTTAATCTCTCCGTGTCTCAGTTTCACCATCTTTACACTGGGGTAATAACAGCACCTACCTCCTAGGCTTACTGGGAAGATTACACGAGTAAGGAGAAGTTCTATAATTATAGATGGCACATGGTTACCACCATGTAGTGGCTGGCATCTGCCATCATTTCTCTAACACCAACATCTGTGTATCATTAAATGAAGAGAGATAAGGCAGCACCCCTGATAGTATGATGCCTTTTTCCCTTAGGCAATTATCGGGATAGAGAAAAGACAGAGAGGATATCCACAACATGCACTTGAAAAAAAATAAAGTATTTTTCCATATGATTCTCCTCTACAGCAGCTAAAGTACATTTATAGAGAGTGTTACTGAGTAATAATTATCTTAATTAGATGACATGTCGCTTAAAGTATGTTTAATATCATCATGTTCATTATATTTATAGACCAGAGCAAAGGGCTTTCACATGTATTATCTCACTTAGTACCATAACAGTTCTGGGAATTATGACCATCTCCATCTTTTAATGAAACAAATGAGATCACAAAGATTATATAAATTGATCAAAGTTACATATCTAATTGATAACAGGAC